GTCTGCGCCGGCTGCCACGAGACGTGCGCCGAGTGCGCGGGCCCGGCCGCGGCCCAGTGCACGGCCTGCTCGCCGGCCCGGCCGTTCCTCATCCCCGGCGCCGGCTGCCGGGCCACCTGCCCGAATGGCAGCTACCCCGAGGCCGGCGGGTCGTCTTGCGCGCCCTGCCACCCTGGCTGCGATGCCTGCACCGGGCCCGGTGAGGGCGACTGCTCCACCCCGTTGCCGGGTGACGGCAGCAGCAGCGGCGGCAGCGGTGGCAGCGGCGGCAGCGGCGGTAGCGGCGGTAGCAGCGGTAGCAGCAGCGGCAGCAGCGGCAGCAGCGGTAGCGGCGATAGCAGCGGTAGCAGCAGCGGCAGCAGCGGCAGCAGCGGTAGCGGCGATAGCAGCAGCGGCAGCAGCGGCAGCAGTGGCAACAGCAGCAGTCACAGCAGTGGCAGCAGCGGCAGCAGTGGCAACAGCAGCAGCAGTCACAGCAGTGGCAACAGCGGCAGCAGTAGTGGCAACAGCAGCAGTCACAGCAGTGGCAGCAGCGGCAGCAGTGGCAACAGCAGCAGCAGTCACAGCAGTGGCAACAGCGGCAGCAGTGGCAGCAGTGGCAGCAACAGCGGCAGCAGCGGCAGCAGCGGCAGTCACAGCAATGGCAGCAGCGGCAGCAGCGGCAGCAGTGGCAGCAGTGGCAGTCACAGCAATGGCAGCAGCGGCAGCAGTGGCAACAGCGGCAGCAGCGGCAGCAGCGGCAGCAAGCCCTCCTCCGGCCGGAACAAGACCGCCCTGGCCATCGGCCTCGGGGTGGGCCTGTCCCTGTTGGTCATCATCGTCGTGGCCGCGGTGGCGGTGCTGTTCCTGCGGAAGGCCGCCTCCGGCCGCGGCGCTGACAAGCCCGCCATCGGCTTCGACTCCGTGGAGATGGACATCATCGACGCCTGATTCCCCCCGGGAGATAGCCCCGGCGCATGTGTACATGTGGAGCCATGGTGGCACACGGTGGGGAAAAAAAAACCGGTGTGCCGCCGCGCAAGGACACCAGACTCAGGACTCCTTGCGCGGGGGCGCATCGCGTGAAATACACTCCACCCATCAGAGCGCCGCATCCCTCGCGTAGGTGGTTGAACTTGGCCGGTTTTTCTCTCTGATCATGGGACGGTGGGGCGAGCGGGGGGGGGGGGGAAGGGGGGACTCTCCGATGCACACCACTTCCCAAGGGAGCACGCACACCATTCACCTCTCCCGGCCGACGGGGGGAAGAGGGCAGCGGCTGGGACAGGGCCTCCCCTAAGGCGAAGGTTGGCACCCTGTCCGCCCCCCCCCCTCCCCTCCCAGACCCAGGAAGCCAGCTCCGAGCCCTGCTCCCGCGGACCCGCCCCCCGGATCGATGGTCCTAGCGCGCACGCGTGCCCGCGCAGCCGGGCATATGGGGCCCGTGCGCCAGGTCCAACGCCGGTCCGGCTTGCATCCGGCCGGGCGAGCCGCCTCCATCAGATCGCCCCCCGGCGCCGGGGCCACCGCCGGGCAAGGGCCTATGCGGGGATGCACCGAGGATGGGGCCCGACAGGCCCCCGTATGAGGCCCCCGCCCCCCCCCCCCCCCCCCCCCCCAGAATCAGGCTCCCTCGCAAGGCCACCACACCCCGGGTCAAATCCACCGCACGAAGATACACACTTCCATATAAAAATGTACACACACACACACACGCGCGCGCGCGCGCTCGCAGACACGTTCAAACTCGCGCGGACGTACGGCATCGGCCCTGACACACCCCGTGGCTGTGCTCGGCCCGGGCCAACGCGAGCAAGGCCCGCTGGCGACCTCGGCAGACTCGCTGGGCCGGAACGCTTGTCAGCCGCAAACCGCGCGCATGCCGGCTGCCCGTGATACGGTCGGGCATCTCGAACTCGGACTCCCGCCCGGAGGCCTGCCGGGCAAGCTGACTGCCGAGTGGCCCCCAATCCCGGACGAGGCCGAGAGGCGGACGCAGGTGCAGGGCGACAGCTGCCGAGGGCGGCAGATGAAGCGATGCGCACGCGCGAGGTTCCCGCACGCCCGTCCCTTGACCGGGCGCCCAAAGCCAAAAGCGGGCCCAAGGGTACTTGTCGCTCGCCGCCCCCCCCCCCTCCCAGCCTTCTCGACGACCAGAGCCGCAGCCAATGGCACCTAGGTACCCGGGGGGGCGTCCAGGTGGTATATGGCACACGCACGATGAGCGCTGGTCTCAGCCTCCCGGCCGGTCACCGCGGTGAGGCGCGCATGCCCGGCTGCTGTCGCCGCGGTCGAGGCCCCTTGGCCGGGGCTGGCGAATCCCGGGGCCCGGCTGGCGTCTCGGCCAGCAGCCCGACGCCCCCGGCGGCCAAGGACCACCAACACAGGAGGGCGGCCTGGCGAAGGGCAGGCGGCCGGGCCACACGGCTCCCCGGGTGGGAGAACAACAAGCAGAGACCGCCCCTCAAGAGACCACTGGCCCCGATCATGGGAGGGGGGGGCTGGAGCCACGACGCTGGGACCTTGGGGCCCGTCTGCCTTGCTCCCCTGTGAGGACGGTAGAAGCACGGCAGCCCCTTGTGGGGTGACCGCGCGAGGGACCGCAAATCCATTGGGCTCGAGGGCCACAGCAGGGGAGGCGGAGGGGCGCCGTGCCGAGGCGGGTCAGCGACTCAAGTCGCGGGCGCCTGGCATAAAGGGAAGGGCCATCCGCCAAGACAGCAACCGAGCGCGACGAGCCAAGGCAAGTCCCGGAGGAGGGACGGCCGGGGGCGCGGCCCTGGCGGGGCCTCGCGGCCCAACGCGGTGCCTACAAAAGCCCGTCGCGCCTCCCCGGATGACATGCCTGTTTAGCTCAGTTGGTAGAGCATGGGACTCTTAATCCCAGGGTCGTGGGTTCGAGCCCCACAGTGGGCTTCTCTTTTGGCGGTTTTTGGCCGCGCAGCAAAAACTGAAATGCCCCTGGGGCCGCCCCCCATTTTGATCGTGGGCCAGGGGGCTGGGCCGAGCGCGCGGGCGCCGTGGCACGTGCGCGCCCGCTCCCTGGCGCCCGAGTCACGGGCCATGCCGCTGTCTATCACGCGGTGCACCGGCCATGAACACCGCCCCCGCGGTCCTGCGCCATTCCCATCGCCTCGCCCCCCCCACACAGGCCGAGAAGGGGGGGGGGTGCTGGGCCTCCGGGAGCCGCCCCCCGTGGCACCAGAGCTGCGCCCGCCCGCCCGCCCGCCCGCCCTCCCAGCCGCCCGCCCGAATGGCCCCTCTGTCGGGCGGCATTTGTGTGGTGGGGGGGGGAGCCTCTCCAATCGACACGCTTCATGACCCCCGGGGCCTTGCCGCTGCCGCCCCGGTGGCATGGGGTTGACTCGCGCGGGGACCCCCGGCGCCCGGGACCCACTACAATGGTCGCCAACCCCCTCCCCAGCCCGCCCGAAGGAGGGACACGCCCCAGCCACATGTCCCTCTCCTCCCCCGATCGCCCACGCCCGGCGCGCAGCACGAGCCCGGCGACCAGGCTCCAATGAACTTGGATTATATTAAATCTCGTTTTTCGTGTGGGGTTCCCATCCCCTGCCCCACGCGTGCTGGCCATTCATCTGACCGCGGGGGGGGGGGCCCCGCGCGAAGGCCCGGTGTTGGCGTTCGCCCCCCCACGAACCGCGATGCCCCCGGCCCGGCCCCCGTATTTAAAGCGTGTCTCCCCTTTCGACAGAGGGGGGAGAGGGTACGCGGGCCGCCTTCTTCGCGCCATCCATGCTGTCCAGGGGTGATGGAACCCCCCCCCCCCCCATCAAAGTTCAGGGGCTTTCCCATGCCCGGTCCCCACACTCCGGTCGCACTTCCGGGCCACACGCCCGGGTCCCTTGGGCCGGGTGGTCTGCCCGCCGCGGCCCACGGCACAGACGTCCGCCCCGCGCGTGTCTCGGTGTGTGGCGGCGGCGGCATGGGCCCGCGGACACAAGAGGAGGTGGGCCCGCCCGGGGTGGGCGGATTTCGGCCGACGATCCTGGCGGGCTCCTCGGCACACGACGCGCGTTCCCGGCCGGTGGCGGGCCCCCGAACAGCGGGCAAGCAGCACCTCGATCCGAGGAGGTTTCCCCCCGGGTGTCTGTCCTTCTGGCTCGCGCGCCCCGTCTGCGCCCATCGGGCCGGCCCTGCACGCGTGCCGCCTTCCCCTGCCCCCGCCCCCGCTCCTGTCCCCGGCCATGCTTCTCCCTCCTCCTCTCTCCCGCCCTCCCCATGGAGACAAGCTCGCATGGTCAGGCCAGTGCTGGCGCTGCCGATGTTGCCGATGTTGCGGCAGCAGCAGCAGCAGCAGCAGCAACAGCTGACGCTGGCGCCGTACTCCCGAAGGCTGGCCGTGCTTCGCACAAGGATAGGCCGCTCTGATGGCCCAACGCCACCGGGGCCAGGGCTGCGAGCAAGCCACACAGCCCACTTGGGCCTTTCCCCCTCGGCCCCCCACGTCGGACTCCCCTGCTGCCATATATAAAAAGACATGCCTGAATGTGCGGCCGTCATCCATATGCCCTCCATCATCCCCTGCCTATCGCCCCTCTTCCTCAAGCAACGCACGCACGCACGCACGCACGCACGCACGCACGCACGCACGCACGCACGCACGCACGCACGCACGCACGCACGCACGCACGCACGCACGCACGCACACACGCACGCACGCACGCGCCTGCAACGCACCATGACCGGTCCCCGGCCACCGGCCCCGGGCAGGAGCCGGCCGCACGCGACCCCCAGCGGCGGCAGCCTCACGCCCCTGGCCTGGCTGCTGGCCGGCCTGGCCCTGCTGGCCGCCGCGGCCACCACGCGCGCCGCCCTGCTGCCCACCCCGGCCAGCCTGGAATACCACCTGCTGCGCATCTTCCCCGAAGTCCTCTACCAGGACGTCTCCCTCCGGCGGAACATCCACTTCTGCGACTTCTTCAACCAGGACACCCTGTCGCCCGGGGCGCCGGACGGCCTGGACGACTTGATCTTCTACGACTCGCACTACGCCTTCGAGACGTCCCCCGAACACCGGGCCTCCAGGGATGCCCCCACCCCGGGCGCCCGGTACCCGGTGCACCTTGCCCACGCCGGCGTTCAAACCTTCCACTGCATCACGAAGGTGCCCTTCCCCCTGGCCCCGTTGACCTACCTCAACACGCGCTACAGCCCGGCCCTTGGCCGCATCCAGGAGATCTTCTACGCCGGCAGCCACAAAACCCTGCACCAGTCCAACGGGCTGTTCTCCGCGAAGCAAGGCCTGGGCGGCCTCACCCTGCCGGTCCTGATCACCGCCTATCCCATGGGCCCGGACCAGCCCTTCTCCGGCTTGATGGCCCTCTATTACTCGTATATGGCCTTGATGAATATCAACCTCCTGGACAGCTACAATAGCTACACGGAATACGAAAAGCTCGAAATCGAGGACCTACACTCGATCACTGGCGCCGCCTCCGTGGACCTGGACAATGACGGCCTGCCGGAGGCCCTGATCGCCAGCAAGCACCAGGACCTGCCGGAGGACGTCTATGTCTTGACGCACCTGAGCCGCTTCCTGGACCCGACCCTGCCGGATCAGGCGCACTGCCTGCAGCGGAGCCTTCTCCAGCTGCCGGCCGGCTTCCTCCCGGGCAGCATCATCCTCGGCGACTTCGATGGGGATGGCCATGCCTCGGACATTGCCCTCGTCTCGGACCACGGGTCCACC